CCCCCCTAGCCACTTCATCCAAATGTACAAGCCCTTGTTAGTTAATATGAGCATCAAAGGACGCGCACATCACATATCAACTCCCTGCCCTTGTGCAATACGGAAAAGGTAACAACGAAATCACCAAAAAATTGCTGACAAACCCGACACTGGGCGGTACATAACCATATGCAATTACTATGCTTCAGTGTGATTAACATAGATTATAGAAGGCAACTTCTAAATCACATTAGCATGATAGTGATAAAACTACAAAGGGGTAACTTTGGTCTCACTTGTCTAATTTTCTCAATTCCTGTGGCAGCAATAAAATCAGGAAGTTGAAAAGGCTGTTTCTCAATACCACGCTTTCCCTGCAAAACGATTTCGGAACCCAATGAGATAAGATGTAGGCAGAAGATTTTACATGCAAATCAAGTAACTATAAGAATCACAGAGGTGAATTTTTAGAGTGCAAGTTCAACTAGTCCAAGCTTTCTCAGAAAAGTAAATAGATCTGAAATTCCAAGTAAATTTCTTAGCATCCTGCTAAGCAGAAATTACAGGTTTAGTTTCCAGGTAAGGTACTCTAATAAGGCAAGTTTATTTATTGATGAAAGTGGTGTCATAAAATGCCTACACCCCAACCCGAGCTAGCGAGCCAATTAGAAAAGAAAACTTATGCAAGGTTTCCCCTTGCAAAACACCTACATGTCGAGACTCCAGAAGAAGCACTGCTGCGCGCCTGCAAGAACCACATATATACATATAAGACAAAACTCATTGACTTCACCCTCCCTTATCCTCATCCCTAAAATCCCATTCGATCAAACCATTTTCTTTTCAACAAATTTTACATAGAACAAGTGCATAACAAATAGTAAGCATTCTAGATGTAACCCATTATACAGATATATCATCCATCGTGACTCACCTGCAAAAATTTCCTTTTCTGACACCAGTGCCGAGGTACTGCAACAGTATTGCGATATGATTTGAGATACACTAATAGCTTAGGGTCTGCAGAAGTGGCATCCCATACCTAGAAACTCAAAATAATTAGATCTCACAAAACTAGTATAACAACTCAAACCAATAAATAGCAAAAACAAAAATAATTGGATATCACCAATTGATGGAAAAAATAAAAAATGATTGGATCTTTGATGTTGCAATTCACCAGAAGACAGCCCGGAAAAATAAAAACTACCAATACTTAAACAATACATTGTTGATCTATACCTCAACTACATCAGGCTTTGAACAAATCTGTTTCAGTTCAGCAATCTTCATTCGACGTTGGAGCTGCAAGAGAATAATGTCATTTTTAGCCCACAAAAAACTTGACTTAATATATCTCTCACGAAAGTGAGAGTGATTTGTGGCATAACTAGTGTTAAATAGTAAAACCTTTTTCTTTTTATTAGAGACTCCTTTCTCTTTTTGTTGTGTATCCTGCTCCTCCTCTTCTGAATCTGAGTCGGCCTTT